ATGAATGGATGAAAGGAATGAAACGAATGAATGGAATGGAATGAAATGAATGAAATGAATGAAATGAATGAAATGAATGAATGAACGAATAAATGAATGAATAAATGAATGAATGAATGAATGAATGAATGAATGAATGAATGTCTGAAGGAACGAACAAACGAATGAATAAATGGACGAAGGGTGGAAGGAATGACGGAGCGAAGGAATGAATGGATGAAAGAAAGGACTGCATGCATGCATGCATGCATGCATGAATGAAGGAATGAATGAATGAATGAATGAATGAATGCATGAATGAATGAATGAATGAAGGAATGCAGAAATGAATGGTGCCTGATTTAATGAACGAATGAATGAATGAATGAATGAGTGAATGAATGAATGAAGGAAAGATGAAGGAAGGAAGGAACGAACGAATGAACGAACAAAGGAATGGATGAATGAATGAGTGAATGAAAGAATGAATGACATGAAATGAAATGAAATGAAATGAAGTGAAATGAAATGAAATGAAACGAAATGAAATGAACGAATGAACGAACAAATGGATGAACGAATGAATGGATGAAAGGAATGAAACGAATGAATGGAATGGAATGAAATGAAATGAAATGAATTGAAGTGAAATGAAATGAAATGAAACGAACGAATGAGCGAACAAATGGATGAACGGACGAAGGCCTGAAGGAATGAATGAATGAATGAATGAAGGAAGGAAGGAAGGAATGAATGAATGAACGAAATGAATGAAATGAATGAAATGAATGAAATGAATGAAACGAATGAATGAATCCATGAATGAAGGAATGAATGAATGAACGAAATGAATGAAATGAATGAAATGAATGAAATGAATGAAACGAATGAATGAGTCAATGACTGAATGACTGAATGGCTGAATGACCGAATGAAGGAATGAAGGACTGAATGAATGAAGGAATGAATGAATGAAGGAACAAATGAATGAATGAATGAATGAATGAACGAATGAATGAATGAACGAAATGAATGAATGAATGAGTGAATGAATGAATGAATGAATGAATGAATGAATGAATGAATGAATGAATGAATGAATGAATGGAATGAATGGAATGAATGAATGAATGAACGAATGAATGAATGAATGCATGCATGAATGAATGAATGAATGAATGAACGAATGAATGACTGAATGAATGAATGAATGAATGAATGAATGAATGAATGAATGAATGAATGAATGAGTGAATGAATGAACTGACGGAAATGAATGAAATGAGTGAAATGAATGAAATGAATGAAATGAATGAAATGAATGAAATGAATGAAATGAATGAAATGAATGAAATGAATGAAATGAATGCAATGAATGAAATGAATGAAATGAATGAAATGAATGAAATGAATGAAATGAATGAAATGAATGAAATGAATGAAATGAATGAATGAACGAATAAATGAATGAATAAATGAATGAATGAATGAATGAATGAATGAATGAATGAATGAATGAATGAATGAATGAATGTCTGAAGGAACGAACAAACGAATGAATAAATGGACGAAGGGTGGAAGGAATGACGGAGCGAAGGAATGAATGGATGAAAGAAAGGACTGCATGCATGCATGCATGAATGAATGAATGAATGAATGAATGAATGCATGAATGAATGAATGAATGAATGAAAGAATGCAGAAATGAATGGTGCCTGATTTCATGAACGAATGAATGAATGAATGAGTGAATGAATGAATGAATGAATGAAGGAATGCAGGAATGAATGGTGACTGACGTAATGAAAGAATGAATGAATGGTTGAATGATTGAATGAAGACGCCCGCATCGTCACCCTGAACAGTGGGCCCCAAACAGCTTTCCAAACCAGCACCAGCGCCCGCGCCTGAAACTGCATGCTTCAAAGCACCCTATTGTCAATCTGCACAAGTGCGCCCGCACCGTGCCCGCACTGTCACCTGCATGGCTTTCAGCAATGATGCAATAGTGCCTCCGCGGTGTCAAGCAGCACCCCAAACACCTCCCCCAAACAGCGTCTAGACCAGCACCCCAAATTGGACAACCCGTAGGCTGAATCGTCAATTTGGCAGAGCACTTTCCCTTGTTGAAAAAAAACAAAAACTCCTGGTTGTCAGCGATCCGACACAGTTGTATTGCTTGGTCACATTGGTTTCTTGACATTGGACACCGCATGACATGTGTGTGTATATATGTGTTTTTTAAATGTATCGACGGCACCCATTGACAATGACGTTTCGTTTGCGCATGCTTTCCACAAGGCATTTTGGCTTCCGTGTTGTGCTGATTAGTTTAAGTGCAAAAACAACATGCATCAGAGGTGATCACGTTGCAAGGTTGCGTTCCACAACCCTTAGTATTGCAAAGATTGCTGTTCATGAGGATCAGTTGGGGAGTTCAGATTTTGCCGTGACAGCCTTGCCTAGCTACCCGAGAACCAATTACAGCTCATTTCTGGGGTGCTGGCACCAGCTGCTTAAAAGGAATTTCTTTGTGGTGTTATGTTTAAATGGGATGCTTGAGAAACCTTGACACAGTCGCTGCGTTTGCCACATGTCGTGGACCACTAGATGTTGCGCTTGTTGGTATGCCAGTGCCTTATGCCAGGGAGGTCAACGACCAATGAACTCCGGATGATTAATAGGGGAGCGTCCCAGTTTGAAACGGGAGTTTTTTTTTTGAAAGAACACGCCTCAAACAATCCAGGCTCGGAAACCAGTGGGTCAACATTGGCATCAGCTTGCGGTGGGTTTGTTCGCTTTGTGGGAGGTGCCTCTAAAAAAATATATGCTCAGTTCTTGTCGAGACAGCCGTGAATACTTGTAGAACAAACCCAGCGCTTCCTCCTTTAGGGAGCCTTGCAGCTGTACTTCGAATATCAATGATGTCGACAGGGCAAACCACGTGCCACGAATTCCTGCCTTCCAGGTTCAGAACAAACAGACAAGTCAATCTAAGAGGGGGTGTGAGTACTTCCAGGTTTGTGGAAGGATACTATTTATATGGGTGTGAACTTGAGTAGGGGACCCTTTGTTGGACATGTTTTTATCCACTTGTCACTTTCGAGGGTTTTCCTTGTTTTGCCATTCTTTGAGCAATTCGCTTTCAAATACCTTCGAATATCCCCCCAAGAAACGACGCAGGACGGCCGCTTTGATACATTTGAGAGACTGACAAAAACCCCGCAGTACAGAGAAGGACATTTGGGCTTTTGGCAAATGCCTGCTAATGAAGCAGAGGTATATTCTGCCGCACAAGCTATTTTTAGGTGGGGTGAACGCCAGAACCCACACTCCAAAGCTCGTACTCCAGTGCAAATTCGCAAGAAGCCAAAGGGGGGGGGGAAGGAGTTTAATCTAGAAATGATGGCCTTTTTCGGTTCCATGCCACCTGCAGGGAGGTACCGGTATCTGACAACTGCCTTTTACATTTCCACTAGCTTTGTAGCATGGAACCTGACAGTAAGACGAAACTAGCAGCAACATATCTCGGGTCCCTGCCTCAAGGTCACAAAACACATTGGCTACCTTCTTGGCTGCGGGCGGCATCAGCTGGCATATCTTTCCGGTGAAAGTGGCGTACGGCTGATGTATCTATGTGATCGCTGGTCACCTCAACACTTTGTTTCTTTTGTTCCGTTTAGGGTCCCCTGCAATCGTTGTGCGCAATCTGTTCGAATACCATTTCCGCTACCAAACCCCTTGGTCGGGGTAGGCTACATGGAAGAAGCCACGCCCAGGCGCGCTGCTGCCAGTTGCCGGCGAGCTGCGCCTCACCGGGCAGGCGTTTGGCGTTTTGGTTCGCGCTCTCAGGAGGGGATGCCGCCAATTACTACCACAACCGGGTGCAAAGACTTGCCGCGTGCTTTAGTGGAAAGCAGCCGCCACTTGTTTCCGGGGCCCAAATCCCGCATTGGCCATTTGAGTGGGTAGTTCTACTACCTGGTTTCATGATGGGTTTGCAGGAAGGCATATAAAAGTCGATATATATATATATATATATCCATCCTGGCAGTACCAAACGTCAGCTTTGCTCGCTTTTGGCACAGACCTCCTGCCCGTGCTTGGATTTTGCGGAGCCGCTGGGGAAGCATCTGGCCGCAGTCCCGGCAAGTCGCATCCGAAGCGATGCGCAAGGCCCTTGAGCTTGAGGTTGGTTGAAAAATAGATGAGCTGGATTTTCGCTTGCACCATCCAAATGAGGGTAAGTGAAAGTTAGGGACAGTCCCACCCATAAGTGCGTTTTGGGTAGATTTATTACCTGGTGGGAAAATGGGCGCAAGCCACAACGATCAGACTCGAAAGGGTCCGCTTTGAAAGGAAATTGAATGGCGGCAGTTTACAAAAGGAAGAAACCAAAGGCCCCAAAGATGGAAAGTTTCTTGGAACCTTCTTCGAAGGGGTTCTGAAAACCATTCGAGGGGGAGGAACCCTTTTGTCACCACCAGCCGGATATGCATCCAGAAAGCATGCCTTTCCCTTTTACAAATGGCAGTAGTTGGGCGCGCATTCGATTTAGGTACCTTTTGGTGAACAATATCTAGGCGGGATTTCATGTCGGCCAACCACTTATTGGTGGTTCCACCTTAAAATTCAAAGCCCACCGATCGTACCTTTTGGGAGTGCTTCTTCAAGTTGAGGAAGCCGCACCCTTTGATACGGGGTGCAGCTCCACGAGTGAGTCGGATACCTGCTCAACTAGGAGACCGGAATTCATTAACCAGGTTGTTTCCAAAGCAGGTTCCTTGTTTGTACTGACTTCTATACCGAATCCGACTGTGGACTATTTGTTTGAACAACTGACAATCCATATTGATTTTGGCGGGACTGACAGGGACAGTCTCTGACGGTTTCTTGCGTCTTCTTAGTCTTGGGTCACCAGGCTTATGGCTCACTTTTCCGAGTTTCATGAAGTGATTGCAAAAGCGCTGGAACCCCCTTTAAACACCATCATTGAGCTCGGGTACATTTGAGGATATCACTTGAATGGATCCAGCTCTACTTTCCTAGTGGCAAGCATTTATTGGTTGTGAGGGCGCTATCCTTTGGGTTTCAAGAGATTCTCAAAACAGATTCGATTGCGATAAGCATGGACAAACAAATACAACTGGCCCCCGTCGGGGTATGGCCAAAGACCACAAAACAGAGAGTTTAGGACTGGTGTTTGACTCAGGTGAACACCCAGACGCATGAGCGGCCCTCCAGACTTTTCGCGCGAGCCTCAAGCTTGATGTGGTCGTCCAGCTATGGATAGAACTTCTCCTACATTTTCCATTATTTCGCCTTGGTGGGCAACAGGAAGGTCATGCATAACTGGGCGGCAGCCTCACTTCCAGGGACGGGAATTCGCTGGGTCCATGAGCGACGGGAAGTGGCAACATTTGGGGGTGGGTCAAAATTAACAATCATCAGGGGACCGCAGGTTTTAGTCTGGGGTTCCATTTATCAGAGTTCCATTTTGGGTACGCATTTTTGACCCACAGCCATTTCAAGTTGCAATGGACATAGCTTGTTTGTGATGTGTGAGTTTTGCAAAAGCTTCAAGCCTCGTTGGCTAAGGGCGAGGAGAGGCTGGAGTGCATTTTGCAGGGCATGATGTTTGCTTGTTTTTCGTCCGCAGATTCGCATAGAACCGGAAAAGCCTTCATTTTGGGGAATCTCCTGAAGATACGCCAGGGAAACCTTTTTCTCGTCCCGATTTCTCAGTGCTGTGTGAATGCCGTCTGGGCTGAACAAGGGCTGAATGAGTTTCTTGCGCCCATGCCACTTGTTGGCAGACGGGTGTAGCTTGGACCTTAAAGTTTGAGTCCGGAGACAACCGCCTTGCTTGGATCGCCGATGTCCACCCCAGAGACAACCTCGCGGAGAAAAGTGAGTGTTCCCGCCCAAAGTGATCTGCTCAACAAGGGGTTCTGCTGAATTGTTTTTTTTGATTCTCAAGTAGTGGTCCTCTAAAAATGGTTGGCTTCCTGTTGGTTCCCCTACCAAAACAGGGTCAGTTAGAAACGATCAGTTTGGCTTCGCCTTTGGACCATCCGATCGGGCCCGAAGCAACGCACATGCAATGCGGGCGACCAAAAGCCCAAGGTCTTGCATCCGTTTCTCTGCCCTTTTGGTGGTTTGAATCATTTTGCCTTTTACTTGGACAAGGTTCAACGCTGTTTTCAGGGGTGCAGCCTTGTGGCGTTTCGGCCAACTGCCTTGAACAGTGGGGTTTGCCTCCAAATCTCCAAATAGGAGACCCCAATAGAGTGTCCTTCTCTGGCTGAAAGAAGGCGACTCACTTTGTCGCTCAGGCCAAAAAGGGGGCTCGATGCTACAAAAGTGGACCCCTCCCGGTTTTTCCCTGAGAGAAGCGCCGTTTGCGACGGCCCCGCAGGTTGGGCCACGGCTCCAAGGTGGATTGCTTGATGGCGGTGTGCTTAGATTTGTTGGAAAGACGGACAGTCAGTAGGACTCCTTGCGGAGTTGTTTTTCATCTTTTTTTCTCTCTTTTTCTTCTTCTTGTTTTTGATTATTTTCTTCTTCTTCTTTTTTCTTCTGTGATGCTGCACCATGGTGCCAGTTTTGATAATGAATCTTGTTCTTCTTCAAGCCAAAAAGGGTTTACTGGTTGCGCACAGGGAGGTTCCCAAAACAAGAGTGAGTCTTTTGGGTTCCATGTTGATTTGCAGGGGTATTGTTCGTAGGATTCATAGGCCGATCACTTTGCGGAGCAGCCCCGAATCATCCGCTGGGATGATTAATCTGATCAGTGTCGGCTTCCCTCTAAACCATAAGGAAGTTTGCTTGCCATTTTCCAAGCACGGGCTCCCGAAAAAGGAGACTCCACAAGAAATCATGGCTTCCCCATCAAACATGAGTGAGTTCTCCTTCTTGTTGAGGATTCCAACAAGAAGTTGCGAAAGGGGCGGGACAATTAGCCCCCATTCGCCTGCCCAGGGGCATATCGGGTGTGGCCTTTTTTGGGGTTGGTACCCTGTTCGGGTTGATTTCAATCGACCCAAGGGCTGCCCAAAAGAAAGCCTAACCAAACCGCCTTTGGGCTCGTTCGGACGACTCGGTGTGACGCAAGACCCCCCCAAAATTGGTGGTTAAAGAAATGCCAGATGGACATCATCCATTTGTAGGGGTCCCTATGTTGAGAAACACCATCCGGCTTTTGTGCGACTTCGATTTTTTTGTAAGCTCTCGTCAGGTTCCACAAGGTTGGTGTTCTTTCAGGAAATGGAAACACGCTTGGTAGTTGGTGGACGGGTTATGTTAGTGGGCGGAAGGCTACGTGGCTACAAGATTAACTAGGAACACCATCCAAATGGTTGGTGGTCGTAAAACCCCACGTGAGCAGCTGTTGTTTGTTTTGGGGAGGATGTGGGAGGCGTACCCAAGGGTACCGTGCCCAAGTTTCCCCGTGTTTTTCTGGCCGCCTCGGCCCAGCCGAGCGCGTAGCGTTTGTGGTTCGACTGCAAGCAACAGAGCTGGTCAAGTGTCGATTTAGGAATGGACAGGTTCTGGCGTCGTTGGACCAATTGATGTCATGGGCCGAAGTTGCGCAGGAAAGACATGGGTGAGGGGGGGTGGGGGGGGGTGGGCCGGACAAATTTTGGGAGGGGTTGGGGAAGGGGACAAGCGACGATTCTCTTTGGAAAAGAGATCTGAGCGCCCTTGGCCCGCTTTGGGGCCAAGCGAATTGTGTCCAAGGCTCGTGTGAAAGACTTTGACAAGGGGCCAGAATTGCCCTGAGGCTGCTCACCTCCCCGGTGCGTTGGGAAGAGTTGACTGGGGTCGGCGTTGTCGTATCCTTTTGTGTCACCACGCAGACCTCCCGGACAAACAGTGTAATTCTTTTTGCGTGACCACTGGAGGAAGACTGTGAAGACACCTGTGAAATACCCGGAAGTTGGAAGGTCAGGAATTTCGCTTGAGAGCGCAAGTGTGCTGATCCTTTGCCTAGGTTTCGCACGTCGATCCCTTGCTGCACCCCAATGAGACCATTTGCTACCCGACGGACCCGGGATCAGGGCAGCGCGGACAGAGTGGCGGCAGAACAAATAAGCCGCACCCCAAACTCTTCTCTTCTGGGCCGTTTTGGCAGGTGGTTCTACCACCTGGTTTCATAGAGTGTAGAAATTTTAAACCGCTTTTGTAGAACCGGAAGTCAATGGGTTTTGGCCGTTCGAACGTGCCAAACATTTGGAGCCCATTTTAGGGCTCCCGGTGTTGAACTAATCCAAACTCACCGGTTGGGGACTGTCGAAATTTGTCCAGGTTGAGAACACCCAAATGTTGTGAGAAGTTCTTCGCAAGAGCTGAGTTGCGCAGACCAAATACTGACTTGTTTCAGACCGAGCAGTTGAAGCTTAGGGGACAGTCCCAACCAGAAATCGGCGCAACGCCTCGTTTTGGATGCTTTGGGGTTTTGGGAAGGCTCCTAGAATTTGAATGTATATAGCAGAAATGGGTTTGTCTCCCAGTGGGGCAGCCTCTGAAATGAGCCCTGTCTTTCCTTTCGACGGGTTCAAAAAGGGGTAATTTCCAAGAGCTCCGGAAGCAGGGGCTTGCAGTCGTTTCAATGTATGTGACCAATCATTATCCTGTCTTGACCCCATCCCCCGCCCGTTCCCCCCCTACCCCGGATCGGTCCGAGCAACGAGCAGAACAGCAAGACTGAAGCAGGGTCTCCCTGGATGATACTGAAGGGAGACAACGACGTTTCATGAAACCTCGGCGGGGAAGTCACGCAGGGTTGGCCTACTTGTGAGCCTCTGATTTAGCTCTCCCCCAGATTCTTAGTTTCCTTGGCTGACGGCCAGAGAATCACAAAACTAGGGCTTCCGGAAGTTTTTCTCGTTTGTGGGTTTTAGCCTATATTGGCAAGCTAAAATACGACGTTCCGACTCGAAATTGTCTCCCAGACTTTTACCCATTGAGTTCCATGTTCCTTGTGGGAGGGCAAACCTTGGGCCTCGCTTATCTTCAAAAGGGAAACTCGCTTGCTCCCCATGGGGTCAGTTTGCTGAGTTTGGGGTTTTGGGCAAGTTTGTGGAGGATTCCCTCCAAAATGGGCGTTTTGTGCGGGGTTGCAACAAGGGTTTGCTCAAACACGTGCCGGAATCAATTTTGGCTGCGGTCGGGGTACTTTTCGGGCTTAGAGCATCACCAGACAACCATTCAACTGCGTTTTCATTCCCAGCGAAAGATTCACTAACCCTCCTTGCTTCCGCCAGTGCTTGGGGCCCAGACCTGGACACTGGACGGTTTGCCCCGAACAACATGCGGACCCCTTGCGCCTTTTGCTTGGTGGTGTGATAGGTAGGGAATGAGACGTGGAATGAACCCGGGCTTTGGTGCCCTTAAAGGAAACAAGTTGGATGGTTTTTCTCGGGCTCGTGAGCCATTTCTCAGGGCCCCTGCCTATCTGGCTGTGGGCCAAAACCCCGTTTCCCCACTAAGACAGGAAATTTGCCAATCCGCAACGAAAATGGGATCGATCCCGTAAACGGCTTTGAACCATGGCCATATCCTGGTGACCCAATTTTGCCTACCCGGGCTGTTCTCCGGGGAGTTTCCCCAACCACCGCCATCTCTCGCATCGGTCGCATTGGTTTCGAGGACTACGGGCAGCAGCGCTGCGAGGCCTGGGACCAGCGGCTGCCGCTGCTCTGCGCCGGCGCCCGAGACGCCGAGACGCCAAAAGGGCCGGGGCTCGGACGCAAAACGGTGGTAGGAGTTCGCGGAGAAGTCTTAAGGAAGTGATCGTAGAAATTTCCGGAACTCCGTCAAAAGCGACATCCAGCAGGCAGCTCTTCTCGACGTGTTGAGCTGCGAGCAGCTCTGGCATCTCACGTGTTTGTTGAGTTGATTGGAGGTGTGTCGAATTGGACCCTTGTGTTTCTCCTGACCCTCATATTCGCGACTCTGACATCTTTGATTCCTTATTGTGTGTTTTTTGCCTGGCGCCTTGCCGGGTTGCCTGCGGGGGCTTTTTGAGGCCTATGGGCGAAGCGACCAGGAGCTGCCGGATCAGTGCAAGGCGGGGCATAGACGAGCTATGGCGCTGATAGCTTGCCTGGCTGGGAGGTCCATGACTTTCTGGGGTTGAAGCTTATTTCAAAAGGAAGCCAAAGGGAATTCCCCTTTTTTGCCGTTCCCTATCAAAAATAAATGTCCAAAAGTTTATGGTCAATTTGGGGGACTTGGGGACTCTCTAAATCTCAACTACAAACAGGAGAATGAACCCCCCTTTTCCATGTTCTGTTCTTTTTCCTTCGCTTTGAAGGAGCGAGTATCGTCTCGGAACCAATCTTCTTGAATCAAACAATGGGAGCCTCTGGAAAAGAATACAGACATTTTGATGGATCGACAGGGTCAGTTCAAGTCAGGGAGGGATGGGGGCTATTGCCACCTACCTGAAAGCGTTCTCAACCTTGTGCGGGTTGGAGCTGGTTTTAGGGAATCAATCCTTTTCAACAGTAAGAAGTTTCAGCTTTAAAACATGTAATCTGGTGGGTTACGACTGTCCCCTACCTCAAACTATCAAGGAGTTTGTTCTTGCTCAAAATAGCCACGACCCATGGTTGTGGAAAATGGGGCCCGCTGTGAGACCATTCCCAGAACTACTTTATCGCTTCAAAAGGGATGCCAACTTCCTTGCATATCCACCAAGAGGCCAGCAGCAAGCTCTACATGACAGTCCAATTTTCTGTAGACTCTCACGGACGTCTGTGATATTTGACGGTTCCTTTGCCAGCCGGAGTTGGTTTGGAATCTCGCCGCTTGCCGCAGGGAGGATGTGCTCCGGGCCAGGGGAGTGTGTGACGCTTTTTCGAGGTGTTCTTTGCGGGGAAGCCCGCTTATGAAACCCGCTTGGCCCAAATGCGTTTACCCTCCCTGACCTCCCTCATGAAATTCCGCGGAGTCGCCTCAGGGCCTGCTGATGGCACGGAAGGCTCGACCCGATGTCTTCCGGTCGGATGTTTGGGATTTCCGGGCTTCCGCGAATGCGGAGGTGTACGGGGCGGATAGGATGCGAGGGTTTGCAAAGGGCATGTTTTTGTTGTTGTTTGGGCGGATTTCCTTGGGTTTGCAATGTGAAGAGGTGTTGAATTGGAGACGAGCTGCAAATGGCTGAGAAGTGAGGGCAGAACTTTAAATACTTTAGACCTGCAGGCTGGGCGGCATGCTAAACAAGCACTCGTGGGGACATGTACTGATCTTAGGGGCTTCCTTTGGCAGTACTTGACAGACATGATTTTGAGGGGTCTTTGGTGAAACACAAGGCTTCGGCCTGTTGCTAGGTACAAGCCCGCAGCCAAGCGAACAGCGCGCACAAGCGAAGTTGTGTAACGGGTTCTACTGCTTGGCTTTCCATAGGGATAGTGACAGGGTTCCCTATTTTTTCCGTTATCAAGACCCACTTTTTGCGAGCTTCCTTTTGGAAGGGTGAAGGACAAAAAACAAGAGAACACTGAGTGAGGGAAACAGAAACACTTCATCAGAACCTTAGAACTGAAGGAGAGCCAATGAGAAGAAAGCAGGCGCCACGCAGAGGTTGTCCCATTTGGCTGGTCTCCAAGAACTATTTCGGCAGCTCTCTCATTTTTCATGTTCGTAGAGGGTGTCAGACATTTTGACTGTGGCACAAATGGGGACCCCCCGAAGATCTATGGCTTATCTTTGCTTTCCTTTCACTTGCTGGTTCTTAGTGGGGAATGTCCCCTTCCGCTTCATTTCAAAATGAAATGATTCTCTTTCGAGAATCTGATAGTTGAACCTACCCTTGAGAAGGTCCCCCTGAGAAGGTTTTCCCCCTCAAAAGGGGGCAAAGCAAAACAAAGCAAAACACAGCAAAGACAACAAACGAGAGAAAGCAGCGCAACACAGCACAAAAGCCGGAACAAGACAAAACCAAACCAAACCAGTACAACGACATAGACACAACAAAACAAGATAAGACGACACAATACAAAGCAAGACAAAGAACAACAAAGGCAGAACAAAGACACCACAACAAAAAGAGAGATACACACCATGGATCTATGTTTCTGACGGAACGCCAGGAGGGCCGCTGCGAAGGCATCTTCAGCCCCAAGGCTGGATGTGATATGATTTTAGTCAGAAAAGAGGCATGGGCTGGCCTGAGGGATACTCACTTGAGTTCCTGGACTTACGTCCATTTTAGTGGTAAAAAGTTTCGACGTCTCCCGGCCAATCCTGAGGCAAGGCACAATTTCCCGTCATCCCCTTTACCTACCCACATATGCCAGGAGTTGCCATCTACTTTTGCCCTGGTGTAAAAGAGGGTAATATTTTGTTTTCTCCTTTTGGTTTGTCGCATGCCCCTAGAAGTCCACCTTTCGACGATTTTGGGTTTGTCCCTTCCCCCAAAGAGCCCGCTCTCCAATCATGAAAGAAGACTTCTTGCAAAGGCCCCTTGTCCACTTCCATGATTGTTGGCAAGAGAGTATTACATTATTACTCTCTTGCAAATTATGCCCCCCGTGTTTGATTTATATGTTGATCTCCATGCAACCATTGGCTCAAGGCCCTTTTATTGTCATTCATTGTCACTGTACAGAACCATACACGCACAGGCAGATAGACCATTGCCTTCCTACGGGATAAGGTACCCCGGTTTCGGACTCAATTGTGGTGGCGGAGCGGGTTTTCCCGCATGGATCCATACGAGATGTCATCCTACTCAAGTGCAGGCCGATCAACAGGCTTCACTGAGGAACCGCTCAATTTGCCGATGACCGCCAAACAGCCGCCATCGTACGACGGAAAAGGGTTCAGGTATGAAGAACTCGTCGATGACTCCCCTCCTGAAAAGCAGGCTCGTTGGAGATGCATACATGTACAAAGAAGTTCTCGACAACACATTGCTTCAAGATCCCGAAGAAGCTGTCAACTACTTCAAGAACACGCTGAAGCAGTACTTTCTCAAGGGCACAACCTATGTGTACCTGTACAGACATCTCACGTTTTCCAATCATCGAAGAAACAGTTCAGAGCTCCTCATCTTCACGTCCAAGTTCGACATCCTTCTAAAGAGAAGGCAGCCTGGATGGACATGATGCCAACATACACGGCACAGTCACCAGAGTTCCGAACATCCGTGCAAGAAGCAAACAATAGAACAATTGTTTAGCATCAGCAACGCCGGTGCCCAAGTACCGCCTCCAACACTGCTTGCCAAGGACGAACCAGAGGTCATGCAGCGAAGAGAGAAGGAAACATTCCCCTCCGGGGACAATCTCATAGCACAATTTTTCATAATCCAAGAGAAAGACTGATCAGTGCAATGTCTTTGAAGAACATCACTCCCGACAACTACTCCTATGAGATGCTGAAAACGCAGCACCACGACCTTCATCACGACCAGGACGTCCAGCCAAGATCCATCCATCCGACTCTCAGAAGGCAACCGAAGCAACATTCTTCATCCTAGAACAAGGAGAATTCAAAGGAGAAGAAGGCTTTGGTTGAGGATGAGGAAGGACATGAAGGATTCATGGCAAGTAATGATGAAGAGACATTCTGGGTCTTCAAGTGTTTGGTTTGAGATTTGGAAAGAGAAAAGAAAAGGAAAATCCAGAAACAAAAATGGCAGTCGCCAACGAGGTGGCTTCAAACCTTTTCGGACAGGCGGATCCGGCGGAAAGGCTAATATGGCCAATGAAACTACGACCAGGCATATTGGAAAGGAAGGAAGGGAAAGAAAGGAAATTCAATATTCCAATACCCCTACGATGGGAACAAAGGCATGACAATGGCAATGGAAAAGCGGACACGAGAAAGGAAAATCCAAAACGTTTGCAGCCATCGCAGAGAAACAAGAGGAGGAGCACCCTGCCACACAGCAGGCTGCTGGACTCCATTCCATGACGCATTCCAGCAGCGTGAACATCCACGACAAACTGAAGCAGATACAGTTATCCTGTTGGCAACAAAGCTGATGGCGGCTGTCATCAACCCTCAGCGCAATTCGGCCTATGCGATGCTGGACAACGGAATGGATGTACCAGATCCATGGGCAGCTGGCACGCAATCCAGAATTTTACACAGGCCATCAAACTCATGAAGGACCCAATCTAGTACAAGTGCCTGCCGGCCGGGACCAAAATCATTTTTGCCAATGGAGAGACAGCCAACGTGAACTGGACCTTGCTCCTCAAGTATCACAGGACACCTCCAGCTAGCACCAACATCCAAACGCGAACCTTTACATGACCGTCGGGCGCACCTCAGCGCAACAAGATCACATGGCAATTGGAATGGGCCGTCAGTTCCAGACATGCGCTAGTCGATCTCGCTGGAGTGGCAAGACTGAAACCCTATGGAGAAAACCAAAGCAGCAAATTCCTCCAAGGACTCATCCATAGAATGAGACAGTTTGTACATCCAAATCATCCGAGACAAAAGAGGACACAGCAACTCCAAAAATCAAAGGGTCTCAAAGGCAGGATCATTGGAGTCTCAACAAGAAGAACAAGCAGCTCATCCGTGTGCATGTAACACCTCGCAAGGCATTGTTCACACCGAATGGAGCTAAGGAATGTCCAGTTAATCTTGACAACATCAGCCGAGAATGTACAACACAGATAATAGATGCCTTCAAGGGCGGAGAACCAGACATCCTTGAAGACAATTGGCAACTTACATCCCAGGCAAACAAACCAATGCTTGACCTGTGGAAAGGTAAGACCGTTTTCACCTTTGCAGACAATGCGCTCAAAGACGAAGAACCAGGTTCATGGTCATGAACCTGGTCTGGTCATGGGAACATGGTCATGAGAAAGATGCCCTAGAGGTCGCATGATCCGTCTTCATTCACTTCTGCATTGCGATGTCTCTCATGCTTTTCCCGGGTTCATGCCAAAGAGCTGCGGAAAACAGCCTGCTCATCATCTCGATACGCCAAAGAATGAACAATTCTCCTTATCGATGAGGAAGTATTTGGTCAACCCTTCCGTTATGGCAGAGACATAGTTGCAACATGAAGTTGGATGAGATCTGCTGGTTGTCTTCTATATGCGAGTTCCAATAGTGTTGTCACACCCTCATAGGTGACGGTCTGATATCTGACAGTTGCGGCTGCCTTCAAAAGTTGTCTGTGTGTCACTTTCTTGAGTGTTGCAGGTGCTGCGCCTGCCTTGATAGAGTTGAGCATGATCTTGAGTTCTTCAGGAGTAGAACTGCTGCTTCAGCTCGGTTCGGCCATGGCGTGTTCGGTCCCAACGATATTGGTGTAATGTCAAGGGATTGATAGAAATGTCCCCATGTTTCTGTCAACTGGTCGAGATAGTTCCTGAGGACAGTGATGTTCTCGGCTTCTTGCGTGGTTGTTACTGTCTCTCATTGCTGCTCCATCTAAAATGACAAAAACAATGATGTGTTCTCCGGTTTCGCCAGGAACCTCACAGTGATCAATGTCTGTCATGTCTCCGAATGTGTCCGCTCAAGGTCCGCTCGTCTTGCTCCTGGATGGTGCTTGTTTTGCTGCTTGGCAAACTTTGCACTCTGTTGATTTTGGCAGCAGGTGGAGTTTCTTCAACTCTTCGGGCTTTGACAATCGCTGATGGATTCTGCCTAAGGCAAGTGGAAGCGATGTTGGTTCATCTGCGGATGGTACAGAAGGATCTGGCACAATTCGACCGGCCCTTCTTATCGATGATCCTGCGTGCTGCAGATCCTGAAATTTGGCAAGGCCCGATTCGAGATAGCGTTCGTCTTCCCATTCTTCAATGGCTCATACGAAGACCGTGCTGCATCAGGTCAAATTGTTCCACCACATCGATGGATCGATAATCTTACCAATCGAACAGCATACGCGGCACTTCGAGCGAATGGAGTCGAATTCAGTGATTGCCGAGACATGGAAACGTTCATCCGGCGCAGCAGGCGCCATTCCAGGAACGTCAACATGGAGACTCTCGGCCGACCATTGTGGCATGAGCAGAAGGACACCAGGAGAAGGAACAAGCCGACATACGAGCTTCCAGCGTCATCCTCCAGCCGATGACTTTCATGATGCATGCAACTCACGAGGAAGAAATTTACAAGGTCATGGAGCATTGTCTCCGACCAGGAAAGAGCATGAACCCACGGGGACGAATGCATGTTCACATGACAGGCATCGACACGGTCATCCTGGACGACGAATCTCCTCGTGAGGCATTGCAACATGTACCTGCTGGACGAAATGCCCTGGTAGCTTTGGGATTTACAAAGGAGAACAACTGCCGCGTCAAAATGTCCGGGGAACGCATTTTGTTGACAGAGAAGACCATCCTGCAACAAAACATCATTGCAGCATACAACGCAGATGGAAACCTCATCCAGAACAACATGCGGTTCATGAAGAAGCGCCTCAATCCGGAAGATGACAAGCAATGCGAAACCATCAAGGAATTTGCGCAGCGATTCTACTTGGAGAAGTCCACAGCGACAAAGAAGCGACGGCGTTCCACAGATCAAGACGATGACGACCAGCTTCACATGGAATCCGATCGCTGTGGAGTTCACCAACCCGGAGAGTTTGAGCGGAATTGACCAAGGAGCAGGCACAAGTAGAGCTCGAGGAAGCCAAGAATAGAGCTCGGATCATCATGGAGATGTATGAAGTAGATCCACGGCAAGTCCAAGAAATTCTGGATCTGAATGCATGTGAGATGGCATCCTTGGCCCAGGTCAATCCCGATACCAATCTTGACGAAGAGGAGTTCTACTACCATCACAACCATCAAATGCTGACCATGGAAGATTTCAGGGCGAATCAGACAAAATCAGGATATCCGATCCGCTTGCCCATAGAACTGAAACTCAGGTACAATGCAGATGACAAGCTCATCAAGGCATTCGCGAACATCCTGGGAATCTCATGGATCGCCCCACCATCGAGCATGACGAGAACTATGTGTTCACATCCTCCTTTCAGATCAAAGTGCTCACTATTGAACCATGGCGCCATTACCAAGAATCCGAAAATCAACAATCGCGAATTGCGAGACATGCCGATGAAGGACAGGCCCATCACCAAGATGCTTCTATGCAACTCCACACAGATCATTTGCCTGAAAGAAGATGCATGCTTCGAGGACAAGGACGAGAAAACACACGCCCTCATGAAGCTTTTCATTCAGCACGGCTACAAGGGAATTGTCCTCAAATCACGGCACGCACGGCCCATCGCATGTTTCGTCCGCGGCAGCAAGCATCCAACTGGAGCACCACCTTTGGTATGTTTCTTTGGCACCGAGGCCAATAGCAACGACCCTGATTACGACCATCCGACATCCGATTGCTTGGCCACCACGGGAATGACAATGCTTGCAAAAGACAGTCCAAAATTCATTGGAACTCGACTGCCACCGCGCACAAATGTCAAAGGCTTCGGACACATCCACTATGAGAAGAATGATGAGATCCGAGGCGCAACTCCTAAGGCAGCATTTAATCTCATGGAGAGCTACGACATCACAAGTGCAGAGCAGTTGGAGTTATTCATGTCCACCCAAGCATCAGCTATGGGGCAGCAAGTAGACTTCCAATTTGGAGTCATGCCACTGGTGACCAAGTATATGTGCGATGTGGATTCGACATGTACCGCCAAGGCCTCTACATGAAAACTGGCTCGGTATGATCGAACATTTCCAGATTGTATGGTTACATTTACCTTCGGCTGGGGCAAGACAGTCATGCAGCAGCAGTTCAGGAAGAGCGAATTGAGTGCGCTGAGTAAGGATTAATTGGAGAAAATGGGGTGACACATTGACCATGGTTACCGATTACAAGGTGACATCAGCAGAACAATTCAAGCGCATCAACAGCGAGAGTTCATGAATTGCTCATGTGACTCCGAATCACATCGCCCGCTTGATGACCTGCATCAAAAGCCGCGTGGAGGATCGCAAGAGAAACTACCAGAAGTCCAAGGAGTACTACCGCAAGAACGTGGCCATCCTGGAGCTACAACAAGGCATCCAGCGGCTACAGAAATTGGAAGGACAAGGACTACAATCAAGGACCATGGAAGGGCTATGATTACGGCAGCACGTCCAACAGCAGTGTATACCGCTGGCGCAACAAGAAATACTAAGCTGCCATTTAGCCTTCTTTGGCATGAACTTGACCTCCTTTGGTATGATGCCAATGTGTCAATCTACAATCTACAGTTCGAACGAGAGAACACCGAACACGTACACTACGAATTCCGACAGATTGATCCTCACCATCAGCAAGACTATTCAGTGAGAGGCTAATAGTTTCACACCGTTGTGATATGTCTAGGTAAAAAAAGCGATTCGCGCACTATTTTTGACACAGCTAGGTATCCGCTTGTGTACAAACCTTTTCCAGTTGATCACAGACGAAACAAGTCATCCGAGACAAAAAGAGGATGAAGAATGAGTTTTTTTATGCAACCGTTTGGCCCAAGGAGCCTTTATTGCCATTCATTGTCATTGTGCAGAATCACACACGTACAGGCAGACAAAAGGGATTATTTGCGGACAGCTTACAGGTTATACCCACAAGACAATCCTACCAGGGACTTCCAGACACACTCCATCCACTATTAACATATTGGACCATCGTGTGGAATAGATCCAGGGACCTACAATAGACCATTGCCACAAGGTACCGGTTCCTACGGGATAAGGTACCCCGGTGTCGCTTTCCCCAGAAAAAACACAAAAAAGGAAAGTGCTCCGTCAACAACAGGAGGTTCCTTGAGTTCAAAGGATTGGTTTTGGGTTCCACGCCAATATGCAGAGTCTCTTGACGGATCGATCGCGACCTGAGGCCTTCGCGCTGCCTTGGTGCCAGCAGCGGGACTCCCAAGGCAGATATGAGGTGAGCCGTGGGTAAGTGTAGGGACGTCTCAGGGTGTGGATGTCCGGCCTTTCAATTTCTTACCTGGAATCACGTCTCCTGCAAATAGCAGGTTTGGATTGCTCAGGTCTAGAACCCCCTGAGAAAGCCCTTCAAACCATCTTAAAAGGGTACACCGTCAGAAGAACACACACACACACACACACACCCAAAAAGGATTCCGGGCAGACCACGTCATCTGGTTCTCAGGTCTTGGTGCTATGTGGACGAAAGCTGCAGCTCGGCAGTGCAGCTGATGGAACGCGAGATTCACTTCTCAAGCGCTTCAGGGTTGCGGGAATGATTAGGGGTAGCTTTCCAACTTCTGAGGAACCATCCTCGTTCAAATGGGGAATTTGTGTTTGGAAGGAACCACCAGTGGTAGGAAAACCAGGGATATCACAGAAGCGGCAAGGCACTTCCGACAATGCTCCGAGGAGACTTGAGGTGGCAATGTGCCAAAGCTAGGGCTAGGACATTTGGTATCTTTTGGTATTGCATAAAACTATCGATGTGGGGCTTTCCACAATTCTGGACCCCCTTTGGGTGTTCACATCTGAACCAAGAGGATGCCGTTTACCATTTACCCCTACGACTCTACTTCCCACTAAACATGTTGGACGGTTACCTCATTTGGAAATAAACCATTTGTTCGAAAGACTTGGGCTCTGCTCTCGCTGGCATTCCAAACCCCCTCTTGGCCACTTGAGAAGGTGGTGCTACTACCTGCTTTCTTTGGGTTGACGGCAAGGGCTATGAACATCTTTAACAACTGTGGACGGACGAAATCCGCTTCGCGCCAGTTAGGTGGTTCCTCCCAGTATTCGAATCGGGCTTCACCCATCCCAACTATCGGCGTGGACTGTGTCCATCCAACCAAACGTGATGTCTCAGAACAGGAGACCCTCCAAAATGGATGGGTGGGTTTCCTTTTCGTTTCCGTTTAAAACAGTCCAACAAAAAAGATTCGGGGGTAGCCTCGAAACAAAGAAAACCGGGGGTAGCCCCCGCCCAAAAAATGGGTTGCCCACTCGCTGCTCTCGGGTTTAGGCGACCTGCAGAAGTCCAAGTCCTACTTCTTCCCCGACACCAATCTGTGGCCCCAGCCTTGTGCCAGACTCTGCCAGACTTCAACTAGCCTGCCACCATGGAAGTGCACAAACTCACTAAGGTAGCTTCTTGCAGGGGTCGGATCCGCCTGGTGTCTCAGTAATCCTCTTCAAGTCTATTGGGGCCCCGGGTCCAACCCGAACTGAAGTGGGCGGCCAGACCACAGATTTCACACCGGGAATGCCCTTCGTCGTCTCTAAATATTTTCTCAACATGAGAAACCACTGGCCAAGCTAGACTGGAGGAGCCCCGGATTTCTAAGAAACCTCAAACGTACACGAGCTCACGTGGATTTATGCCCACCAATTGTTTGTGAGGCGCCCTTATGAAGACACGGGGCAAGCTCTTTGTTCCCTCAAGCAGCAGATCTTTTGGTGTGTTTTCAATCACTGCAACAGAGTGGTGGGTTATCCTTGAAACGCCCGCAAAGAATCCATCTCCTCTTTTAGCCACGCCCTTACGGAGTAACTTAAGGAATCTAACTAGTATCAATGGAATCAGATTCCAGTCTGCTCTTGGCGCATAGCTTGTAACTGCTATTTTTCACAGGATCCCGAGGTCCGAGAAGCTTCTTGTACGGTGACCCAGAAAATCGGGTGACTTGGTTTGAGTGGATCGAATTGACGTGTCATGAATGTATTGAAAGTTGCAAGAGGGCGGGTGACGAATCCTGTATCGACTGAAGTTGCTAAGGAGGTCCCCGCAAGTGTTGGATAACCTAGGGTTCCCCAAGGCTTCCCGTAAGGACAGCCCCCGAGAGTTGACGCACATTTTGCCGCGTCAGTTTGCTTGCAGGTTGTTGTAAAGAAGTCGACATGAGACCATGGTGCTCATGGCCTAGTTGGCCTTGGCTGATGAGTCCCAAAACACACCTTGCACATATTTTGTTTTCTCTTGAACAACAAACACGCCGACATGAGGTACTCCTACGAGACCTGCACCTCCAGGCATGTGGGAGTCAAGCCGTGGTTTCTTGACTCTGATGCATTTGGACCCGAAGGAAATGTCGGAGTGTGTTGTTTTTGAGGGACCTTTTTTGTGATTGGTTCATCAGAAAGTGATCCGCCATTGCTCAAGGCGGCGATAGTTGAAAGAGGATGCTCTTGCAATTAGTCTGAGTTGTTCAAAACCAATCCCAAATCCTCGCGCCTCATGGTTTCCCTTGTAGTGGTGTCTCGCAGCAGATTGCGGATTAGGGATTTGGGGACCCCATTTTGAACAACCCTATCCGTGCAGAATTTTGCATTGGGTTGGACATCATGTTTGGTCAACCTCGTTTCGGGTTTCTCTTCAAAAACGGCTCGCCCGCCAAGCACAACCTCAGACCCTAAATGGGTTTGATGTGATTTTTGCATGGGCCCCTTTCTGGGAATTGGGAGGGCAGCCATGTCCCTTGTAGGTTGTTAAAGATTGATGGCACTGGTTTTTGCGAGGTTGGTTATGGATAGATAGCTAAATCGATGAACGTGGATGGAAGGACGGACCATGGATGGATGGATGGATGGATGTTTCTAGTCTTTCCAGTGGAACCTGTCTGTTCTCTTTTTGAAAGGCCACATCTTGAAGTTCTTTTTGCCAGGAACTTCTTCGAGATTTGGAACATGGTTCAGCTGGAGCCCGAACCTCAAGGAATACGTTCCAGATTCACAGGTGCCGTGATCTTTTTGACCGATTCACGCTGGCGGGCCAAAGCCCTGGGACAATGGCAGGACTGGGTGGACCTGAATTCTGCAGGTGCGGCCGCACGAGTTGGCCTCTGCAAGGAAGACCCTCGTGTTTTGAGGAATCTTCGGTTGGAGCAGCCCCACGTAAATTCGCAGAGCCGAGCAGTATCGTTGTGTTTAACACATCAGGTTGAATTTCTTCCCTTGTGTTTGGCTTTTTTTGAGGCATGATGTAATTATATCATCTGAATTCTTTATAAACAAAGCTAAGTCTCCATGAAAAAAAACGATCCAGCAGATAAAGGACCAGGATAACGTGCACGACATTGTGCAGCAAGCAGTAAACTATGCGGGGGGGTCTCTTTGATATCCCCTTTAAACCAACCCCCCAAAATAGCGAACCCTCGAAGAACGACACTTCACATGGGTCATCAGCCGTGCGAGCCTTGAGGATGTGCAGCCGGTTTTCGGTGGTGGAGAAGCGCTGGCCTCGGGGCGAAAGTTGGTTCAAAAGCGATCGCGCCCAAGGGGACCCCAGTCATGCTGATTGGTTCCCCCGGGTTTAGAGACAAATGAACCTTTGGACATTTCAAACATTGAGCAAGTGGAAACGTGCGTCTGGTTTCCCGAAACGAAACTTTATGACGCAATTGCAACTCATTTGGGTTTAGTCATCCCCTTTGCGTACATCCTGGAGGTGCTAATCCCTGCAGTTTTGTAGGCGACTATTTTTGCTCACTTTGTACAGCAACAACCACGGGTTTCCCAAATTGACCAACAAAAAGGGAGGGCTACATGATCCTCCATGAGGGATTCCTCCAATGTTGAGAGGTACCATTTTGGATGCCGAATTCACCGGATTCTGAGTCTAGAAATGGCTTCCACTTCAGGCCGTGACGAGGTCAGTGTCCTTCCAATTGCAAACCAAAGTGCTTTTGTGCACACACACCAGTTTGCTTGCCGACTAGGTATCACTGTGCGGCATAGCAAATGCAAGGTTGCTCGCCAAGACTTCAGTGACACGGCCTTGCAGGGGTGGCTCTTTTTGCTTGTGGAAGACTCCACCAGGTTGACTGTTGATGAACCCCAGGTTGCCATGAGACAGCTGGCGGTTTTGTTGGTATGAACAATTTGTGGGGCCTTCCAGTCAAAAGGCCCTTTTGCTCGTTTGGGGTGGTCAAGCACAGCACCCTGACTGATTGGGCTAAATGGGAGCAGCCCTGAGGTGCGGGTGTGGCAACGCGTTGCCATGGGTTTGCTTATGGCTGGATTCTTTAGCAGCTTTGCAACTTTGTGATCTTGAGTTCCAGCATGTATGTGCATACATCTTAATTTGCCTTCCTATTTTATTTGTTTGCTGGTTTGTTCATGTGCTTACTTGTTTATGAGCTAATTTACCCAAAGCCAAACTATCATTAGACACAGACGGGGGCGAGTCGAGAGTGAGGCCCTACATCATCATGTGGCTCTCGTGCTGGACCTGTGCCTTCCTGCAGCAGGCACGGCCTTGTGAGTTTCCAGGTGAACTCAGCGGTGTCGCCACACAAGGGATGTCTCTATTGGGGAATGCGAGGGAACCTTGTTTTGTTTGACTATGGATCATTTGCTCATGGAATCCAAAGGTGCAAGAATATATATATATATATATATATCCTAGGGTTTGAGAAGGCCATTCCAAGAACCCTCCGGTCCAGGCCTTTTCAGCATCCCCAACCCCATGACGAAGATTTCATTAACTCGGGGTCCGAGTTATGCTCGAAAGGTGTGGAGGGTTTTTTTTGGAATGTTCATCTCAGGAATCATCCAAGGGAAACCCTCAGGCGACCGGCCACTTAGTGGTTGCTATCCCACTGTGCAAACCATGAAGGACTGAATGCGGGGACATACAAAGTGGAGTCTTGAAATTGGGTGGCCCCATAGGGAAGTAGTTTATGCCTACGCCCCGGAAACCGCATCCTGGCAAGCGCTAAAACCCAAGCGCCGAGAGCGTTTTGCTGACATGCAACACTTTGCGCCACATGCCTTTGCGCAGCTTCACTTCGGTTCATGTGGGAGCGAGCAGCGCTACTGCCCCTAGCCCTGCAATCTTTCCTGTGCCCGAGCCGCGCCAGCGAAGCCATTCTCTTGGGACTGGCGTGCTGGTGCTGCGGCTTCTTCTGCGGGGCGGCGGTCGTGGCGCTAGCGCTGTCTCCCTGGCTGAGGCGGGTGCTGGCACGGTTCCTGCTGGTTGCACTGCAGGAGCCTTTCGGCGGATCGATTGCTGAGGTATCAGGACTAGTGCTCAGTTGGGCTTATCTTCCAAGTCCAAGCCTGCGCTGTCGCCTTTAGAGGGCCTTTGCGTCTGTCTGGAACCCTTGGCTAGACCTTGGCTGCCAAGTTCCGGTGTGAAAGCTCCTGGACTTGCACGTCTCCAACCAGTAGCCCGGGGACCTTGCCTTGGCTGTTTCGGCCTTTGCCTGCAGCTGAGTTTCGCGTTGGCCGTTCTCGCTCTTCAAGCTCTTTTTGACAGCTACGACCTTCTACGCCGGGAGTCCTTTGTTCACTGTCACAGGCCTGGAGAGGCCGAGGTCTTTTACTTCTGGGCAGTGGCTGCCAGCCCGCCGGGCGCCCCATGACACTGCCCGAGTCATGGCGAACAGCGGAAGACGGCCTTTGTCCATCCAAGCTGTGCTTCAAATACAACCAGTTCTGCTCTCGGGCCGTTTTGGTCAAGCGGGCCAACTCTGGAGCGCTCGTCGGCATCCCCAACAACCCGGCCATCCTGGAAGCTTTCAGACCTTGGCCCCTTCGTCGAGGCTGTGGTTCCGGCAGTGGGCCGGTCAGGGCAGCCTACACGCAGGAACCTCGACGTCCTGATCTTCGACCTCGACTCAAGCGGCTTCAGCTTTCTCGCGGAGGAGCCCTTCCCGGACGCGCCCGACGAGGTCTACATCGACTTTGGCGCCTTCCGTGGGTCTGCAGAGTGGCCCACCCCCAGTTCGTTGGCCGAGGCGGCCATGAACTTTGTCAGGTCGGGAGGCGAGCGGCTCGAGGTCTACTTCTCTGCGGTCGAAGAGGGCGCCGAGAACCTGGAAGAGGTTCAGTCCCAACTCCCGGAAGGGTCAGCAGACCCAGTTCAAAGTCTTCTGGACAAGCTCCTCACTCAGGCCGACCTCACTCAGCGAACCATGGGCAAGCTGGAAAGCTCCTCTTCAAGAGCGCCGGCTCCAGTTCGGTCGACCAACCCTTCGCCCCAGCTCTTCACGCGCCCCGAGGGCGGCCTGGATGCAGCGCAGCTGCTGAAGCTTCAGCAGCTGGCGGGAAGAGCGCCGCCTCGACGGCCACGGGCCCTGCTTGGCACTACCGAGGGGTTCCAGGAGGGCGTCGGCGGCACGCCCGTGAACATTCATTTCCGACCCCTTGCTAAAAGCTGGCTACGCTGACCCTCGCTTTTTCTGGAAGCCCGAAAGCTCGTGGCCTCGTACCAAGCTGGCCCGCGTGATGTGCAACCGGGAACGCTTGCTCCAGCTGTTCAGGAAGTGGGACTCGGTGAACTCCCTTTACCTTCTTGATGCTTCTTTATCTCAGAGGAGTTACCGTTGCGGCCTATTTGCTGTTTACAAAAACACCGAAAAGGACCGACAGATTTTGAACCCCATTCCTGAGAATAGCAGGCGCATCACCATGAATGAGTCCACCACCAGCCTTTCCCATGGAAGCTTACTGGTTGGAATCCACCTCGAGGACAACGAAGACCTTGTTTTTGGGGATGACGATTTAGAGGACTTAGAGGACTTTTTTCACTGTTTCATTGTCTCTGACGAGCATGCTTCCAGGAACCATGTGCATGGTGTTTTCCCTGCTTCCGTTTTCAAAGGCTGGCGTTGTATCGGGAATCTTTGGGTGATCGACCTGTTGTTGGATGCTTCCGGACGCTTGCTATGGGCACCAGTTTTGCAGTGGAACTTGCGCAGCACACCCATGCAAATTTGCTGAGAAGGGCGGGTTGTTGGACTTCTTCGGAGCAAGTGAGGTACCACTTCCCCCTTCCCCGCGGCCCAACGTTCCAATTGCTTTGCATCGACGATTATTGTGTCATTCAGAAGGTTCCCCGTGGCTCTCCCCTACCTCGCCATCCTCCCCTTCGGAAAGATTTGGCTCTTCTGAACAAAGCCCGTGCTGCGGCAGCTTTGCTCATCGGGTTCCATTGTGTGATGCGCCCGAGCGAATTCTTGGCAACTTGTGCTGCCCCGCGACGTGTTGTCCGACGAGCAGATCTGCTATGTGGCAATCCTGCGTTCAACTGCTCTGCAAGCATCTTTCGGAGCCGATGGAACAAAGTTTTTGCACACCTGGGAATTTGCACTGATGAGCGTCGCAAAGGCATTCCCCCAAATTCCTTACGGGGCAGTGGTGCTTCCTGGCTGTTTCACCACACTGAAAGCTTAGAACGTGTGTTGTGGCGGGGCCGATGGCAGTCCAGGAGGTCACTTGAGCATTACTTGCAGGATGTCATGGGGCAGTTCCTTTTGTCTGAGCTACCGCAGGACAAGCGTGATGCTGTGTGTTCCCTTGCCGAAGCATCAGCGCATCTGTTGCTCTCGGTTGTAGACGGCATGGTTTGCAATCCTTTGTCACGCTGCTAAGATTTGGAAGGATGTGGTACAGTGGCCGTTGTGACCAACTCTCTCTCCCACATAGAGTGCCTGGCCAGGCAAACATGAACAGACCTGAGGTCTGGGTCGTGGCTCTTGCAGCGCCTGACTTTTTGTGAAGCCAGTTTGCAAAGGCTAAAACAGGAGCCAAGTTTGACATGCAAAACTTTGCGCCACATGCCTTTGCGCAGCTTCACTTCGGCCCACCCATTTCGCCCGAAAGCGGAAGGATGTGGTACAGTGGCCAGTGTGACCAACTCTCTCTCCCACATAGAGTGCCTGGCCAGGCAAACATGAACAGACCTGAGGTCTGGGTCGTGGCTCTTGCAGCGCCTGACCTTTTGTGAAGCCAGTTTGCAAAGGCTAAAACAGGAGCCAAGTTTGCCTACTGAGCACGGTGACGGGCTACTTTACCGCGCTGGTTTTCGGTCCGGCGGGAGCCCTTGCTCACCTTGCCCTCACTCGGTTCGGTGGCTTGGATTGGAGCTACCCCTGAACCCCCAAACCATCCTTTGATTCCAGGCACGAAGAAGGGCCAAGCCTCACTTTTCCCCTTTGGACCTGCAAAAGAAGATCAACCTTCTGGACCCTGACCAACATCTAAGATGATCTCCGCTACCTCCAAACCTTATATAGGCGCCATGTAGCCACCATTGAACGGGCCTTCGGGGGTAGGGGAAACCATCTTACCCTTGACAACAACCCCCCACCATGTTGTGGTCAGTGGGATTCCCTCAGTTGGGATGCCTTTTCTTCCGGCAGGACCGGGCTCCCTGATGAATAGTTCAAAGCATCCTTTAAATAGCCGCCACAACTAGGTATACGGTAAACAGGATCAACTAGGGTAGTAGGGAATTCAGAAGCCTATGTTTGGAAAGACCCAAGGATCCTGACTGTGGATCTTTCGATTTGAGCTTCGGTCAGAATTCCAGTTTTGATGCATTGGGAGGGACATGGGTACGACAAATACGAGTTTCCCACAAAAGCTTCCCACAGAAAAAATAGAACTCGCCAAACAAATCCAATGTCAAGCAGTGTAGATCCGTTTGCTTTTGATTCTGAGCATATCGGCTCGTTTTTGGGGGCTGTGGCATTGAATCAAACATGCCCCGTAGTGCTTCGTGGGTTCCATGGTTTGAAATCTACTCAACTGGCACCTTTGGGAGGCAGGATATGGTATGAACCACAACGAACCTTCAAAGGATCACAAGGGATATGAATCTTAGTAGGCCCCCTTAATGGTGTCCGGTTCGTTTCTTATCTCACTTTCCTTTCGCCTCCATGTAGCCGCACGTAGCGATTGCTAGAGGTGATCGACACCACGCGAAAGCTGGAAGAGCAGCAGGATCGCTTAGGCCAGCCACGAGGTTTTGGCATGTCCGTGGTGGGGGAACTCACCAAATTTCAACCAAAAAGGCGGGGGACACAAACGCAATTTCCCTTCCCTGTTGAAAAAGCAGCTGATTTTGACCGTTGCGGAAATATGAAGGTTGTTCAATGAGCAGGTGGCTGCCTCATGCATCCTTCGGACCCTCTTGGTTTCGTTTTGTTTCCAGCACCGGAAGTGTTACTTTGCAGCCTGGAATGTTTAGGGGTTCGAAGAATGGTTTCCCACTTTAGACCATTTGAAACTCGCTTATTTTGAAAGTCTCTGGAGAAGAGGCTTTTTCTCTTAATTCCCCGGGAAAGGATGCATTTTTCATGCGGAGTCGACATGAATAGGTTGGGCCATTTTGGAAGGTTCCACGATGTTGGGGCAAACCTATGCATTCTAACAGGCAGTACCTTGCCAACTGGTTGGTGGGCAGAAACAGGCACGCGCAAATTCACGCCCAGTTCTCAACACACGAGCGGGGGAAAAACAAACACGCTGAAACGGGGTAAAGATCCGGGAGGAATCGTGTGTTTTGTGAACAGTGAATTCCCAGCAAGCCCTTGTCAAGGTTGCTAACCAGTCACCAAGTGAGGGCCCGGGACAGTCCCAAGCATAAATAGGTGCGGCCGCCCTTTTGATTCTTTATATTTGCTTTTGGGTAGTCCAGAGGCTTGATTGCGACTCAAGTGGTTTGACTTGAGTGAACCAGCAGTGAACTTCCTTGTAACCCCTTTCACTGGAACCGACAGCCATCACCCCCGATGCCTTTGGACCTGGGCAAATGACTCTAAAAACCACCACCAACCTGAGGGGAGATTGCCTATTGGTTTTCCTTGAAAGGTGTCTCAAGGGATACATATATATATATATATATGTATATATATATATTGGGACAAGACAACCCCTTTTGCCTCCAAAGGGAAGCCTGTGAGCTGTGAGCCGAGTCTCCCGCGCTGGACATGAGCAAAGACACTCACCTCCTTGCCAAAAAAAGCGAATTTGCAGTGCAAGTACATGACACAATGAATATTCACAATAGCTCACATAATTCAGTCCAAGCTTTTGCGGTTGACCGCTACCTGCATGTTCAACGAGCCTCGTGTTATGGACGCAAGATGAATCAAGCTTGCGGATTGACAATAGGTTGTGCTTCCCAAAAGTGAAAGATCCCCTCTCAAGTGGGGCACCCACCCGGACTTGCCAGGAAAGTGGCAGCGCGCGTGCGCTGGGCTGCTGGTGCGTTTGGGCTGGGTAGAACGGTGTGTTCACCAAAATCCGTGGGTTTCTTTTTGGTTTTCCTTTCAATAACCCGCAGAACATAATCCTCAAAACCAATGACACCCCCATCCGAGGATGGGGTTGTGGTGCACTTTTTGAAATTATGAAACTGATGCATGAACACTTTGCACTCCAATCGTTACCTCATGTATTGTTATGCCCAAGTGCAGTGTGCCAGGGCTAGGTTTTGACACATCATAAACACTAAGCAGGGATGGGGTTTAGATGGACGTGGCCTTGGGTCACCGTCACAAGGTCGGATACAGATGTAAGTAATCTAAGTTGGGAATAGATGTATGTGAAGGTTATATACCACTTGTATGAGGGTCTATACTGCTTTAGTTGGACGAAACACCCACCTTCCACGCTGCTCCCCCTGGCAGCCTCTCGGTTGTTAGGCCTTTGGTTTCCTCCCTTTCGGATGGTGATGCTGAAACTACGAATAACTATTGGCGATTTGGGGGTTGCTAGCCAAAAAAGGATGGTGGGGGACATCGAACAAACGTTTTCAGACCAACCTCCGGCCTTTTGATGGCCTCCTGGTTGACAGGTTTCACTCAGACAGCTGAGGCAACTTCGAAAAGGAACAGTTTTCTTCTGGTTTCCTCCCTGCCGCAAAGGTACTTGGGGATCCAGCTGCTGGTCTTGGTCACGGAGACCTATGCCAACATGCAGCCTCCGGCCCAGGATTTGTGCGGAAGACGCTATCATACTCATTTAGAGCCAACTTGCAAGGAGGAGCCATTGCTAATTAAGCTTAATCGTGACAGTTGGTGACAATTAGTGGGACCATGCAGCATAGGGCTTCTCTTAGCTCCCCTTGCGATGTATCAAAGCTTTTATTTCATTATACATTTTGAGTTTGACTTCATATATCGACCAACATCAAGCACATTATGTTTGTCAAAAGCTGAGGTAGTTCCCCCCTCCAAATACCACTGCTCGTCGTAGGGTACGATGTCGACCACTCACTAAAAAGCAGGCACCTGCCATGAGCAGCCAGGTTTTTTCAATGACATCAAGAAACACAACAACAACCGGGTATGTGGAAGGACTCCCCAGCAGATCACTGGAACCGCGAACACCACCATCTTTGGAGGAGACTCCTTTTGGAGTATCCCTTTGTTTGTTCCCATGTTGATTTGTAGTTGATTCTAGCACTTCCCATATAAGCCTTTGTGTGGACTGTTGCCTACAAGCACTGCGGGACTTACTAAATTCCCCTGTCCTTCAGGGAAATCGCATATGATGACCGCGGTTCAAATCCAAGAAGATTACATCCCTTTGAACTCAGAGACGAGCGGCGGTGTTTTGCAAGTGTCAGGAAGCAAACATGAAGCCAACCAGTGTTTTCTTTGGTCCCAGTTTTGACCCATATCCACATCAACCTCTTGCTATGATTCTAAGATTCTGGGATGGTTTTCACTACCCTTAAACCACTATGTCCAGAGGAACACGGGTTATATACATATGGTGGTTGTATATCCCATGAATCTCCTGGCAATACTTTGAGGCCAGTGGAAACCACGATAGAAAGATGGTTTTCACTTCACCCAAACTTCTGTTCCCAAGGAATCTTACAGAACTGGCTCTGCTCAGATGTCCGAAAAAGTTGAGTTTGAATCTGGGCCTGGTGGGTATATTAGGCATGTGTGTATCCGAAACCAATCTTTTTGCTATCGAACATCTAGACTTCCCAGGTTGGACAGCGGGGATGAAGCTCAAGTGGGAGCACTTTGAACAACATGTCCATCATAGGGTCTACAGTCCTATGTATTCATGAGACCAAAACCAAAAAGGGTTCCAAACTGGACAACCAGAGGGTCCAAGAAAAACAGTTGGAGGGGTCCCAAAATGAAAGGATCCCACAACAAAAGCGTCCCAGGCAAGAGGCCAGCGATAGCCTCGCGCGTGAGGCGCATCCCTTGGGGTCAGCGGGATTTCTGGAGTTGCTACAACCTCTACGCCGGCGCCGAAGGATCGAAGGATCGAAGGATGGGTGACCGGTGTCTTTAAGACACGAGTGAGTCTTTTCTTCTTCGTCTGGCTCGTTTCTGGTTTTTTGTTTTGTTTCTTGGGCCGTTTTCTTAAAAATAAGCACCAGGGGAAACAAGACAACTTTTGGGCCTATTGAAAGAGTGACTGGTCCCTTGGTTGCGCGAGCGGGGTTTGCCACGGGTACGGTTTTGTTTGCCGGTTTTGCCATGGCTCAGTGCTGGGTTTCCGCAAGGGGAGCTGGGTGCCCAACTGATGGCACAGTGAGCCAAAGCTGACATAGCCACAGGGATCGAAACAAAAGGTATGACCTTAGGAGATGCTAAGATGGCTATGATTCTTAATTTGTGCACCCTTGAACATGGTTGAAGATTGGTGGACGCACACAAGTTTCCAGGTACATGATGCCCATTCCTGGGCGGTGCACGTGAAGAACTTGTCCTTGGGAGTTCCAACTGATGGTATCACAGGGCCATTCCCACAACCCAAGGGTCTGGGTGTGTCCTTTTCTGAGCAATCCTTTTTCGTTCCAAAGAGAAACCCGAGACCCGGACAATTTTTTTGGGAGGTCGCTCCCGTGAGGAAAGCCCAGGGCGAGCTGTTCTCCAGGCGGTCGGATTGGTGGTCAAGATGTGGCGGCTTTGTCTCTGGGGCGCCACTTCCTCTGAGGTCTACGTGTTCATCAATTCGGCGGTGTTTGTGCGTGCGACCATGATGCCATGACCTCAGGCAACGTGACCCTTGGTTCTTTTTTTTTTTGCCAAACTGGCCCAAAAGGATAGCTACCCAAAGGCTCCCGAATATGGGCTGTTTCCAGGTCTGTGGTAGAGGGGCAAAGAGATGCACCGGATCTGGACCATAATCCAAAATAGCGTAAAAGGAGGGTCAATATTCGCTTGACTTTGGCAAGCACCCTCATTTTTTGGTGGTGTTCTGGTTAGCGTACCCGCCAACTTTTGAATTCAGTTTTGGTTGGCAAGGGGCAGAAAACTGAGGTAGGCGAATGGGGCCAAGAATCCGTCTACCCGAATGGCGACCGCAACTCCCTCATCACAGCTCTTACAAAGGCTGTACCAAGGGCAGTCTTTGGGGCAGGGGGTTTCAACAGTTCCAACATTTGGGAGCTCACCAGTTGAACAGTTGGGGAATCCATTGATCCTCTTTGGGACCTCTTTGAAGGTGCTAACTGCAACCAGGGTCCAACAAAAGGTGGCCCCGCGCGTGACAGGACCCAGGAATGAAGAGTTTTTGGAAAGTTGGGAGTAGGCCGCAGGCGAAGAACCTTTTTTGCTGCATGCCAGGAGCTCCATATATGGGACACCCCCCTCCGACAGGGCCCGTGCTCTGTCCCATTGAACGGTTTGGATGCTTTTGTGGGAACCAGTCGTAAGCGCGTAAACAAGAGTAGGGGAAACCAATAACTGGCTCCTGAAGGATTCTTTGAGGGGTTCACTGGGCAGGAGGTACTATTAAGTACTTCAGGAGGAAACCACCAGATGCGAATCCATAGTTTTTCCAGAGATTCTCTCTGTTGACCGTAAAAATGAGGGGACTCCTTTTCTTGTTCGAACCAACTTACCTGGAACACGCCACCCCCAATCGTAGGACTTCAGATTTCTGCAAAAGGAGCGGCCGTTTCAGCCGCCAGCCTTGAGGTCGCAAGTGGTGTGGGACTGGTACGAGGTGCCCGGCGCCTCAGCTGGCGCTGGCGTGTGGTGCTCATGGCTCAAAAAGTGCTGAGGATTTTTTTTTAAAGGAGGGCCTGAAGTGACGGAAGTGACGGGAGCTTGGCAGTTGCCCTGGTACATGCCTATATAACCCTTGTAGCCTTGTATAATACTATCAAAGTGGAGGATTCTTTTCGGAATGCCGACTTGTCCCAAAACAGGTGGCAATCCCTGACAGCCAACATTTGCTGGGAAGGATGCCGTTGATGTACGATTGGGGCTGTCTCAACATGGACATCCTTTGGATGGTTCAAAAGAGGAAGTTGGCTCATCGCCTTCTCGCCCACAAGAAAGCCACTACAGGGTTGCTTTTAGAGGAACATTGTCCACGCCAGGACCCCGCAAGCAGGTTCCATGGCAGGGTATACCTTTTGTTCATGGCAGAAGACCCAGTTTTGGAGTAAACACCCCCCAATTCTAGGGGTACCTCCCCCATTCCTTCCAGGGATCCTTGACAAACCCCTAGACCAATGGCTACAGCCAGCAAGGTTTCACAACGCGTCATCCTAACCACGGCCTTAAGGCGTTTGCTGAAGCTCCCGGTGCTGCCCTTCCAGATGGATGGCAAGGGCTGGACGGATGAGATGCGGGTCCGAACCCCAGTGGGATGTTCGGATTGAAGGGTTGACCCTCAAAACCCTTGGAAAGGGGTCCCCACTTGTGATGTTTGCCCAGACCTTTGTGGTTTATTTTCCATATGACACGTACAGAAGGTCTAAGGAACCAAATTCCGAGCTGCAAGGAAGTCGAAGTCACTGGATCCAAGTGCATTCCTTCGGTTCTCCATTTTGGTTTCTAGACACTTTCTCAACAAAAACCAGACTGGTTTCTGGGTGCCGGCTCTTTGTGGAATGGTTCATTTGGGTTGCCCACGGGTTCTGCAGGGTGAGGTGTTGAGAAGTCTGATTTGCTTCCCTAGGGTTGCTCCTTTGGATGTTCAACGTTCAAACCACAAGTTGGCAGAACACTCTGGATAGGTTTCCTTGCGTTTAGGGACCAAATTCCCGCCCTAACTCTGTTGGGTGTGGGGCAACGCCTTTCTTGCAAGCCTGAGCTCGGCTTGGAGCTCTTTTTTCCAGTGTCTTACTCAACTATGAACGGCCGGTAAGCAATCCTAGTTACAAGAGTCTACATACAAAGCATTGAACCGCAATTGGGTTGAACATTAAGTGGGGTTTGGACAAACTGAATGGTCCCGCCGAACTCTTGCAGCGAATAATCGCCCGCTTCATATGCCTACGCTGCCAGGACACAAGTTGCGCCGCTTGTGGCTGCTTAGAGAGCAGCTCTTCCGCCTAGAATCCTACAAGTTGTTACTGTGTCCTTCGCGTCGAACTTTTGAAGTGTTCTAAATTTTAAAGCTGGTGAAAAGCTTGACCATCCCACTCCTGTCAAACAAAACGGAGTTGGAAATTCGATCCTGATCACACGGTTTTGTGTTACACAACCACTGTAAGGGTTTGCCATGTCTATGAGTCACATACAAAAGTTTGACCCCGGCAACTGCGTCAGCGCTAGATCGCTGCAAGATGGCTGCGTGAGGCCGGATTGCTGGTGTGCATCTTCCAGTTCTTGTCTTCCCTGGGTGCTCAGATCTTAGATCCTGACCTGCGCTTGACATAGCGTACACATGCCTTCATTCGGGTGAGTGGCCAGGGGACAGTTTCCCTTGCAAGTGGCAATCCAGTCATAGCGAATCGAATTCCGCTTTATCACAGAAGGGTGGCACTTTCCACCATGGCCATTCGTACTGTTGGCTTGCCCGATATGGCATAGAACCGGACTTTTCTGAGTTGAAACACCAAGCCCTCCCAGCATGCATGCTAGACTGCTTGAACATGCTTGAACGAGGCAGCTACCGGCTCAAGTGTCATGACGCGTCCTTTTGCTCGGAGGTTTTTGCAGGGCCTGCTTCTTGCAGTGGCATTCCGTGCGCGGTGGCAGCTGTTTCTGCGGCCAGTGCGCAATATACCTCGCAGGGCTCACCTCAAGGCAACACCTCTGAACGAATTGCAAGCAGAGCTCAGCAAAGCAACCTGCTGCGTCCATGGAGAGTTGCCAGGCGGCCCAGGTTTAAAGGACAAGCTGCTTGTGCGAACATCTTCGGGCTGGACGAACATTTCAGATTCTAATGACCTGAACACTCTCGTGCAAGCTTGTGCCCCCTCAGCCCTGGGCAAAGGTGCACGGACGGTGGTGGATACCAATTACAGAAATGCCCGTGAGCTGACGCCAGAAAACGTGGAGGTCCGCAACTCTCTGAAGCTCGCGAATCGCTTGGCCCCACTTGTTCAACGAAGCCTCTTCCCCGCAGCTACAGTGAGACTGGAGTTTGACAAGTTGTCGGTGTACCCCGAGGGTGGCTTTTTCAAGGCACACAAGGACACACCAGTGCAAGCAAATCTCTTAGGGTCTTTGGTCGTTTGTCTGCCGCAGACCTTTGAAGGAGGAGAGCTGATAGTTACATCACCCCAAGGCGACGCAGAGATTCTGGACTGGGCAAAGAAGTCGACCCGAAGTGTCCAATGGGCTGCCTTTTTTGCAGACTGCACCCATGAAATTTCTCCAGTGTCACAGGGTGTTCGAGTTACTTTGCACTACCATATTTTTACAGAGCGCGACGAGCCTTTGGCAATCCTGGCCTCGGAGAAAGTCAAGGGACTGCTCAGAGAGCTACTTGAACAAATCGAGTTCGATTCGGTGGCCATCCCCTTGCTACACCAGTATCTTGGCTGTTCTTAGCTCGCCCCTAGGGTTCAGTAAGGTGTTTCCTATACTCCTTGTTGAGAACAGTCAAGGTATTCTCTGGGGACTATTCGGGAGGCTCTTCGCCTCAAGGAGGCCGCGCACGTGCTGCTGAAGGGCGCCGACTTGCAACTCTTCCTGGCGCTCAAAGATCTCTTAAAAGAACGCGGCCTGCAACCCAGCGTCACTGCGGCGTTGTACGAGGAAAGCTTCAAAGAAGAGATCTTGGTTGGAGAGTTTGTGCCTGAGAATCTTCCTTTTGTGGAGAAGATTCTCGATAATGGTGATGATGATGGAGAGATACGCGAACTCGAAGATTATAGGTACGAGAGGAGAGAGGATTATGAGGACGCTGAAGAGGAGGACGATGAAGAGGCGCTAGAGGTCTTTAGTGAAGCTTGGTGCTGGCAGCAACAGTTCGGGGGCAAGTTCCGTCGCGGCTTCTGGATTCACCATGCGCAAAAAGAGACTGCCGGGCTCCTGTTGAGAGGAGACTATGGAAACGATGGCATACAGGTTGATTTGTCCAGAGTGTACAGCATGGCGGTAATCACGTGGGAAGCTTCGCCATGAGTGACAGTTGCCAAGGCGCAACACTTGCTTTATGCAGCATACGGAGCAGGCGCAAAGCATCGTGAGCTGCTGATGCTGACCGAAGTATCGACCAATTGATGGTGCGTTGCTGTTGGCCGGAAAAGTGATGTTGTCATAGAAGCTCCAGGAAAATGCTGGGGAAATCAATCGCAATGTTTACCGTTTTTCGGCGCATCAGGGCACACTTGCACATATCTTAGTTGAATAATCACGACCCCTTGACCCCCAAAGAGGTACCCCAGAAGGGTGTGCATGTATGTGATGTTGGAGGCCCCTTTGCTTTGCATGGATTTGTCAAATGGCAATGACCATTGGCTCAAGATGTCCAGATCAAAACCAGGGTTTGCGCTCGCCTACCGGACTGGGGTTAATAAGGGTCCCGGTTTCTGGTTTGCTGTGTTTCTTTCCCTGTTGAGTGGTTATCAGCCGTAACTGCTTTTTGGGATTAGGCCCCCTCAGTCCGGTAGTCAGCGCACTTCGTGCATGGACCCGGCTCCGGCCTTCTCGGCCAGAGGACACAGGGGCGGGTGGGTCTATCGTCGAAAGCTTTACTACGAAGCTTTCGACGAGCTCACCCGTTGGGCTTGACGTGAGTTCCAGGTTGGGGTAGCAAGAGTCCCCTGGGAGGAAGCTTTGGACCTGCATCGGAGCTCCCTCCTGGCGTGGCAGGCCGACTTCACGGACCAGAGCTACCGGCACTTGCGGGACATCACCCCGACCTCTACGACGCCGTCATTGCCCGAGGCCGACACCAACCAATCCCAATTCACCAACGGGCACAGGCCGCAGCTCAAGGCGCGGCAGGGCAGGCTTCAACACCAGCTCAGCCACAACAACAACCAAGCACCCCATCAAGTCCATCCTCCACCACAACTGTGTCCACCATCAAGGCTGCAGCTCCAAGCGCAGCGCAGACACAGGCAGCAACAGGGCCGGGAGATCAGGCTGCAGCTCCAAGCGCAGCGGCTCCATCCAAAGCTTCAACTGAGAGCCCGTCTCGACCTTCCTCCTATTCGCCTGCAACAGCAAGTAGGGGAAGGTACACTGCTCCAGGGAGGTCCTCATCGCGGTGGAAGAGGACACCGCCGGCAAGGCAACAGCCTTCCCTTGCACCGGCACGGAAGGCGTCAACCAGACGCCCGAGATCCAGAACTCCCCTCAGGGCTGCAGCTCAAAGCGCAGCGGGGTCGAGGACCAGGAGTTCCTCACCACCGGCCCGTGCATCCCTGAGCGGCCACCCTCGGACGACCCGTGCGACCTGCCAGACTCCTACTGGCACGCGTCCAGGGTTGTTGAGTACGTACCACAGTACGATGAGGTAGTCAAACCGCAGATCGTTGATCAAGCCGCGAATCTTCGGCCAATCAATGTCGTTGGTTCTCCTGTGAAAGTCGAGGATGATGCAGTTTCCTTGTCCGATGATGACTCCTTCATCATTGATCCATGCCAGGATTTTCCATCACCCTCCCAAGTGACAGAAGAAGAAAAGGAGCAGCTCAATGCGCTCATTGATGATGTGGTTCAAGAGATCAAGGTTGCACGCTTTTACGCGCAACGAAAAGCCAGCCATGCCAGCTCCGGAGGAAAGGCCTCCGGCCGAGCCCCGGGATCCGCCGTCGGTGCCACCACCTGTTGGAGCACCTCCTGCACTCGCACCAGCGGTGCCCGAACATCCTGATGACGAGCGCAGACTTGTCGATTTTGCAGAAGGTGGTGAGCTTCGTGATGAACCTCGGCTTCGGGCCGAAGCCAGTTCACCGGAACACCAACGGACTCACTTCCCCAAGAATCCCTTCTGCAAGATTTGCAACATCGCTAAGAACACCTCAATGCGTGTCGCCCGGAAACCAGGGGGATCTTCTCGACGCACCCGCCGCTCCCTACCAGCAGCTCGCTACTGATAGCGTGATCTTGGCGAAAGGCGATGAACACGTTGGCATCGGCATAGGCGGAATGAAATCCCACGACGTCGTCAGGGATGTGTTTTCCGGCGCAAGGGTCGCATACCCGGTCTCTAAGAGAGACATTGCGTCGCACGCAAGGAACCTCAGGCATTTCATTGGCCTCAGAGCCAACGCACTCGCTCCACACTGTCTCATAAAAATGGATGAAGCTGGAGAGTTGCAGGGAGCGGCCGAGGAAGTAGGGATGATCCCCGAAACCTCGTTGCCGAATCGCTGGCCACACAACTCCGAGCTTGAGCGAGATGTCCGAGAGGAGAAGGAGTGTTGCAGAAGCATACACCATCAATCGGGTTTGCCCTACTCTCTGCGCACGCACTCCTATCCCTTTGCATGCCTCTCGATGTCTTTTGACCGACCGTCCACGTTCGATCCGACAAAGACGCAATGGGAAGCACTCACTAAGGAAAAGTTCGACGGCGTCCGCTGTTGCTTCGGACAACTCGTTTGGTATCGCCTAAAGTCAGCTGGAAAGAGAGCCCTAGAACCCAACATGGCTCCAGGCTTGTTTATGGGTTGGCGTATCGATCCAGGGATGCGATGTGCCGCGAGTTGAGGAAGGCGATCCTGCTTTCCCGATCGCGGCCGCTGCCGATCGAGCCCTGCGAACAGGCGATGGCGAGGTTCCTGAGTATGCCATCAGAGATGTTCCTTTCATTCCTGAAGGCATCCCTGCCCCGTCAACTCCGTCAGGCTTCAAGTCACGAAGTGTGTACTTGAACGGATTATAAAGTTCAAGGAGACTCCTGGATGCAAGGCCTGCACCGGCCATGCTAGTTCCACAAAAGGTTTGCAGAGCTAGTTGAAAGTGAAAAGGAAGAAGCGAAGGCCAAAAAGGCCACCAAACCAAGTAAAAGTGCAGATGAGGCAGCTGCTATACGCGCTGCAAAGGCGTCCTCCCTAGAACCCCCAGAAGCCCCAGTGATAGAGGCACCTGAGGAGGGAGACCCCGATATCGTCCGTGCCTTGCTTGGAGAGCCCGCCTCTTCTCGGCCCAGTGTTCCGCATACCGACGCTGTCCCCGCATCAACCAAGAAGGATGAATGGGTTTATAAGCCTAGTGGTAACGTGTTAATCCGCGTGCATCATCAGCCTAGGATTAAACTTTTCACTCCCAAGGATGTCGGTGATTGTCGTGTCAGTGTGCAGAATCACACCCGGTAGGACCACTCGCGTTGTGTCCCAGCAAGATGGTAGCAAGGAAGATATCAGTGATGGTTGGGCAGGCAGATTCTCAGCGCATCGAGAACTGCCTGTGTTCTGGACTGGCATAACCATTTTTAGGTT